AAAATAGAACCCAGTCTTCTTATCCCTAACCTAATGCTCTTTGCACTGTACCATATTGCAAATAATAGCTCCACTTTGCTTTGGCCACACTGTGTTTAGAATGCAGTGCTGGATGCCAAGTAACCCATTTAAGGAAGGATACAGGCAGGGAAAAGAAAATGAGACAGGGAAGGTCTGGGAACGCTGTCCAACGGGAAGCCAGAACCGTGATGAGCCTTGTGCCATGTTTGGTCCAGAGCTCCTGGTCCCCTCAGGCCCTAAGGTGGCAGGTTATAGCCTTTAATGGGTTCCTAGAACACTTCCCACTTCCTGTGAGATGACATAAAGGTTTACTGGAGAATTTGGGATTATTTGCTGGGGCTTTGGCCTTGAAACTGTACTCTTTATTGCTTGTGTTCTTCATGAATAAAATTCTTGAAAATATCTTATTTTGGCTAATAATCCTGAATACTACTACAGCTGAAAGGGAGTCTACATTTGAATTAGTTAGACCATGCCTGCTTTAGTGTTTCCCTTCCTTTTAGAAACACCATCTACTATGTCTTCTTGTCCTGCACAACCTAAAGAGTCTATATTCTCTTTCTAGTTCCTCTGGTCATCTGAGCAAGCAGGGTTCCAGCAGAATATCCTCTTCTGGGTTCAGGTAGAGCATCCCCCCAAGACTACAAATGGTGACTCCCTCCTATCCTCCAGGTCCTAGGGAATCCTCCCAACTTACTCATTCCTCTGTCAATTACTCCCAGAGCCCCACCTTCCATCCTGACACCTGGCTTACTTTCTCCCATTCCCACTTTCATCTTTAGTCGTTCAGTTTCCCCACCCCGTTCAAAGTCTTCACTCAGTGTTATTTACGATCATTGTCCCCAAACGCAGAGAGAAAAATGCAATGGCCAGTCTGTCTCTGCCTGGACATGCGCACTCATGTATGTGTTGGGAAACAAGGGGCAGGAAGGTGGTGAGAGGGGACTGGGTGAGATCCTTCAAGCCCCAAACCATCAGAATTCTATCAACCCTCCACAGTAAAAGACTGGACAGCAATTCAAAACCCTCCGTGTTTCTACTCTTCTTCACTGAATGGAGTCTAAATCACCAACGACCACTTCCAGAGAGCATGTGCCCCCCACTCTAGACTTCTCCAGGTAGTGTGGCCAGGTGGACAGAGCAGCAGCTTCCCCTCTAAGTAGCTAAGTGACCTTGGGCATATTCTGACCTTTCTGAACTTTATTTCTCATCTATAACAATGGGGTACAAAATAAGGCACCCTTACCCCAGAGGGAAATTCTGACTTAATATGCTCATTTAATTTTTAAAAATCTGGAACAGTCAGAAAGACAGGGAGAAATGTATATAAATATAATATATGTTTGTATTTATAGAACCCATGTCAAACAACTCCTACCTTTCAGGGTATGATCCGTCTCAATATCACTTACT